GGTAGATGGCACTTGCCGTTGGAAGGTCGGTCTATTTTAGAAATGGGAGAGGAGAGCCAGGTGCAGTGGCTCACACCTGCAATCCCAAAAATTTGTGGGGGCCGAGATAGGAGGATTGCTCGACCCCAGGAGTTCAATACCAGCCTGGGCAACATACTGAGATCTCATCTGTATAAAAAAATAAATAAATAAATATGGAAATGGAAGAGGAGAAAACAAGATAATCTTTTAAATGCCTACCTATGACAGGAATCATGTGAAATTGTGCTTAGAGTGTTAAAAAATCCTCATTTAATAATTAGGCACTAGTTTGAAAGTTTTAGAGTAAAGAAACTTTACTTTGGTGACATTGTGGCAAGAGAGTGTCCCATAGCAACTTAAGTGGAATTTGTTAGTCCTTCAGATTGCAAACACTGCCTTTTACTCTCTTCACTCCACATTTTATCTGGAGAAGACTTTTGATGTCAACTGTAGTGTTTTTGCTGATTTTAGATGGCTTATTTTTAAAGCCTCTGGTACATTCTCTGTTGATGTCATTATGGACTGTCACTGTAGCCAATTAAAAATCCTCTTAACTATCATAGATTGTGTCAGAGGAGATCACTGTCATTCCTCTCCCAGGAAAGATGAAATTTATGATCCATATCAATTTATTGCCTGTTTTCCTTAAGCAAAACATGATTATTAATTCAGTTAGACATTAACTCAGAAAACTCCAGATATTTTGATTGATATGTTAGAGTAACCAAAAATATTGAAGTTTTAAAGATGACTGAAACCAGCTATTAGGAATGAGTTGGCATGTTGCTTATACCATTACATAAAACACAATAGCTGAAGCATTTTGAATTTCAGAGCTGTACCCACATTAGCCCCAGTGGTTTCAAATTTATTTATTTTGAAGACAGATTTAGATTTGGGTAATTCTGTCAATCTTTTCAGGTGATACACTACTGTAAAAGATTCTACTTATCGCTGGCCATGGAGGCTCACACCTGTAATCCCAGTACTGTGGGAGGCCGAGGCAGGTGGATCACCTGAGGTCAGGAGTTCGAGATCAGCCTGGCTAACATGGCAAAATCCTGTCTCTACTAAATACAAAAAATGAGCTGGGTGTGGTGGTGCGTGCCTGTACTCCCAGCTACCTGGGAGGCTGAGGCAGGAGAATTGCTTGAACCTAGGAGGCGGAGTGAGCTGAGGTTGCACCACTGCCCTCCAGCCTGGATGACAGAATGAGAATCCATCTCAAAAACAAAACAAAACAAAACAAAAAAAGATTCTACCTTTTACCCTGTGGTAATGTCTTGGTCCCGCTCCAGCTAGCTTAGGTAAAACGAAGTAATTAATTTTAAGGGCACTGAGGGTATCTGAGAAGGCTCAGGAATCAGTGGAACTGGGCACTAAAAGCTATTAGGATTAAGGCAGCACCTGCCTTCTACCCATCTCCACTCCCCGCCCTGCCCCTGTGCTTCTCTGCATGGCAGCTGTGTGGGGGTCCAGGACTCATAAGATGTAAAATACAGTCACACTCATGACTGTAACTTATTACAGTGCAAGCACATGAGGCAAACTCGGCACAGGGAAGAGGGCCTGGGGCGAGTCTTCTCCCATGGGCTGCACCGGTCACACTTCATCCCCACCATTCACAAATAAGTTGTGAAAACACCGTGGAATGTTGTCAGCCAGGGAAGCTCCTGGGCAGACCAGCACCCACGTTTTTATGGAGGACTGCTCATGTAAGAAGGCTCTGCTTGTTAAGTATCAAAATTCCAGACTCTCAAAAGAAAGTAAACCATACTTTGTGTGGCATAGAGCATGTGGTTTGTGCAGACAGCATAGGCACAGTGAGCCACTCTTACCACTTAGGTAATGATGGGAAGGAACCCTCCCAAATCCAAGTTCTCAGATACTAGCCAAGGGCCAGGCTTGCAGGCAGACAGGCCCTTCCGTAGTCAGATCTGCTGCTTCACTCTTTCCTGCACAGTGGGAGATGAGCCCCATCCCGGTCTGAAGTTTACATACCATACCTTCAGTTAAGATTGAGCAGAGCCCTTCGAGTATGTCCCAACTCCAGATTCCCAGGAGAACGAGTTAGCCCAGAGAGGGTGGAGTGTCCCTCTGATCCAGGCAGGATGGTAAGAGAAATGAGTCACCTGGTCCAGCATGGATATCAGGAAATCTTCCTGTGGACAGGTGACTTGTTTGGGGGCTCAGAAGACACTCCAAAAGCAAGTCAGCCATAGGGATGCATGTGTGGAAAATCCTCTCAGAAACTGTACAGACTTTATCTTGCAAAGGCCCTCTTGCGAGAAGCATTACAAAGCCATGCAGGAAAGAGGCGCTTGACTGAGGCCCCAGGAGCCCTGGGTTGCTCTGAGGAAATAGGGTAGCGTGTAGGTGTTCATTTGCATAGAAGCAGTGAATGCCTAAGAGATTCTGTAAGAGATTCAGATAGCTTATCCTCAGGTGTTCTCTAATAGTCTCAGTGAACTTTTGTTTTTCTTCACCATTCTGATTGCAGCCAGTTGGAGTTCTTGAAAATGGCCCGATTCCTCCCTGAGATTGATCCTTGTAGGTGGTAGACAAGAATGGCATACATATTTATAATATTCTTCTGTGTCTGCTGTAGTTTTTGTTTGTTTGAAAGCTTTTATATTAATCTGCTTTCATGCTGCTGATAAAGACATACCCCAGACTGGGCAATTTACAGAAGGAAGAGGTTTATTGGACTTACAGTTCTAAGTCGCTGGAGAGGCCTCACTATCATGGTAGAAGGTATCTCAGGCACATCTCACATCGTGGCAGACAAGAGAAGAGGGCTCGGGCAGAGAAGCTCCCCTTTTTATAGTCATCAGCTCTCATGAGGCTTACTCACTATCACGAGAACAGCATGGGAAAGACCTGCCCCCCTGATTCAATTACCTTGCACCAGGTCCTTCCCACAACATGTGGGAATTCAAGATGAGATTTGGGTGGGGACACAGCCAAACCACATCAGCTTTCTTGGTCAGATTTTTCGTCAGAACTGTTGAAGGCTATGCATCTCAGCCATGACTTCTATGTGTGAATAATTCCTGATCGTCTCAATAGTACCCATATAGGAAGCGCTGGTATTTCCTGAAGCATGGGTCTCTTTTATTTGCTGAAGACAGGGGCTGATGTGGGGTGTTGAGGTGACCTTAGTATGAGCAGTGGTTCCCACAGTTGGGAGACAGAAGTCTCTTTTGCACAAACCTATCACTGGGATGCTCTGAGAAGGGCTGAGTGTCACCTCACAATATAGTGGGAACCCTGTCAGTTCTGTGGCCCAAGTAAAAAGGGTTTCTAGATCCCTTCAGTCAGTGGGAAATTGTTATAGAATTACCATCATATCCCCATCCTTGGCTACATGCATAATAGTTTAGTATGAATGAAAGAAAACACACTTGCATGCACTCTGTCTGTCTGTCTGTCTGTCTGTGTATGCCAGGAAGTTAAAATCCAGAGCTTCCAGCCAGACCCTCATGTTTGTTTTGCTGTGGTTCACATGTGGATGCTTACTTGGAGTTAGGTAAGTAGTGATCCCTCTGCCTCCATACGGTGCATAGCAGACCAGTTTGTCGCTGCTGTCTGTGCACTTACGCTCTGTGTGTGCTAGTCTGGCCTCAGCCATTGCCACGGTGCCCTGTCCTATCCCACGACTGCAGGGGCCTGATCAGATGGACCTTGTACATGGGTCCATCTGATGGCTTGATGGAGCTACCTACTATGTGTCAGTCTCTCTTTAAAATACCCAACGGTATCCTCAGACTAATTTTTGCTTTTGCATTTTTGCTTTTGTTATCTTTGAGATATCAAGGGTAGAGGGCAGCATTCATTCCAGAAAGGACAAGACTTCTAAGGAAACGAGAAATGTTTTTTGGGAGTCTAAGAACGGTGTATGAGTGATAGAAAAACAGTTCCTTAGCCCCTCCAACCGATCAGCAAGAAAGCTTTTGAAAACAGTAGTGAATCTGCTTTGCAAGGGCATAGACTGTAAGGAGATAACTTTCTTCTGTCTTTTGAACACTGTTGTTTTAGGATACAGGATAACATTGTTGATTCTTGAGGACCTAGGATGTTATCTCCTTGAAGGAAACCTATTCTTCGTGTCTTTCGCAGTAACCAATAATTGTGTTGATGGATTCATCTGTGCCCACAAAATGAGCTTTCAGAAAAGAAAATGCAAAATTCAGTGATACTAGATTATTATAAGCTCTTCGCATTTCCTGTCACTGACCTTTCTACCTCCCTGGGGCTGCGGGCTCCCATTCTGAGAAACACTGAGGTCTGGGAACACTGGAGGCTGAGCTGCTCAGCACAGGCCATGCATGCAGACAGCAGGGTGAGAGCCACCTTGTTAGAGCAGTATCGGTTATGATGCCCTCTGTCAGCCTCATGGGGTTGGGAGTAGGTGCCACAAGGAGCTCTAGGGGCCTCCCAGACAGAAACCCAGCTGGATTCCCCAGCAGCAAGCATGGAGAGTAATGGGTTTCCATGATAGATAACGCTGCTGATATACCTCGTCTTCCTGGATCTCGATGCTTTCTAGATCTTGTTATTTATATTTCCCTTATCTACTGTGATATACTGTGGAGCTTTATGGGTCTGGTAGGGTTGGGAACAAATAGTTCTATTGTTAGTTAATTGTGTTAAACTAATAGATGCATATGAGTTTTATGAGATTTACTAACTACTTTTTTATTCAGTTAATGGAAATCTGTTACTCCTTAATCGATTTGAGCTGCAGTTATTTTGTTAGGGTGCTATTGTTTAAATGGATGTATATTTCCCTCTGTGAGCCAGGTTCATTCAGATCTGCATTTGTGCACGTCCCATATTTTTATGTTTGATAAATGAGCAAGTGGGTATGTTGGTTGGTGGAAGGATGGGACCATGACAAAGAGGCCCAGTCCTCAGCCACCTGTGAGGAGTTGGCATGCAGGCATATAACATTTCTGTTGCATCTTTTGTTTCCACAGTGAGAGAAAAACGCAAGAGTCTCTTCATTAACCATGTAAGTGAAGCTGTCTCCCTGTGTTTTTCATAATGACTGTACAGTGTAAAGAGCTGAAATAACTGTGTCTGTAATAGATGAAAATGGCTCGTGTGCTTTGTGGATATTTGGAAGAATGTTGCAGTGTACTTAGTTTGATGTGTAATTGGACAAGCATCACCCAGTATTTGTCCACTGTCCCAAATGCTTTTCCAGAAGCCCTAGACCACTGTTGTTCATGGGATGATGTGTGTGAACAATGCTATGTCAAATACCACCCAGCAGGTCCCAGTGAAAGCCACTTCATTTCAATTTCGAATCCTTTTCTTCCTCTACGCTCACCCCCAAATCGCGTTTTCTCTTGTAGCTTAGTTCCATTTGAATAAACACATAATTGTTTTCCATGAGGCTCTCTGTCTTCACACTCTACTTTCCCATTTGTTGTTTGTGGGTCCAGTAGAGTCTGCATGTTCTTCTGATGCTCCAAGAAAGAGCATAAACTTGATAAAACACTAAATTTAAAAAAGATTTTCAAACATTTGGCTGTAGTCTTTTGGCCATGCTTAGCCATGTCTCCCTCCCCTGGTGGCCAGATGCAGGTGCCCTGTTGAGATACTTTATCCCTCTTCCTTGAGCAGAAGTGTAGCTGGGTGGCTCCAGCCTTTACCCCACATCCTATGGACTGGGGAAGTCCTAGCCACCCCTTCGTCTCCTTAGAAGTATGCCCCTTTAGGCCGGACGCAGTGGCTCATGCCTGTAATCCCAGCACTTGGGAGGCTGAGGCAGGTGGATCGCCTAAGGTCAGGAGTTCAAGACCAGACTGACCAACATGGTGAGACCCTGTCTCTACTAAAAATACAAAAATTAGCTGGGCATGGCGGCGCATGCCTGTAATCCTAGCTACTCGGGAGACTGAGGCAGGAGAATTGCTTGAACCTGGGAGAGGGAGGTTGCGGTGAGCCGAGCTGAGTTCGTGCCATCCATTGTACTCCAGCCTGGGCAACAAGAGCAAGACTGTGTCTTAAAAAAAAAAAAAAAAAAAAAAAGAAAAGAAAAGAAAGAAAGAAATATGCCCCTGTAGGAAAGAAAACTCCCCAAGAGGTATGGAATGATGAAACAGGTGTAAATTATCAAAATAAGTATGCTCTAAGTCCTCATTCTAAAAACAGAACCACACAAGGGTCTTTCTCAGGATTTTTGGACTGTCTGCATATATGTGTTTGCAGATCTTGAAATACTTGGCCCTAAAGCTGTGTATTAAAGAGACTTTAAGCCATAATATTGTATTCTCTGCCCTTTGAAAATATGGACAAAATGCATTTGGAAAGAAATTCATGAGCTGGGCCCGTGCACTCACGGGACATGGAGCTGCGCCTTAGAGACTGATGACTTCTTTGTAGTAGTGTTTATATATATGCACATATACAGTTTTCTAGGGGTCACTGATGACTTCTTTGTAGTAGTGTTTATATATATGCGTGTATACGGCTTTCTAGGGGTCACTGATGACTTCTTTGTAGTAGTGTCTGTATATATGCGCATATACGGTTTTCTAGGGGTCAGAGGGCTTATTGTTTTTAGCAGACCCTTAAAGCAGTCATTGACCTTTTTCCTCGGCTTCTTAAATTTCAAAGCATTCATGTAAAACATCTGTGAAATTGCAATCTGTGTCATGAGGAAAATGTGAAAATTGCCATACTTTTTTTTCCTTTCTGAAAGCAGCATATACCTGGATATAAAAATTCGAGTGATTGGAATGAATTCTCTAAATCCTTGCTTCCATTTCTTTGCCTGCTGGGTGCACTTGAATGCTTTCCCACTCATTACACTCATTAGCACGTCTGCCAAGGAGCTTGCAAGGGAAAGGGAAGAGCTGGGACAGCATCCAGGCCATCTTTCCTGTTCACTGCGGCTCCATGGAAGGTGCGTTGAAGAAAGAGCAGGCTAGGAGTTTGGTTGTCTGTGCTGCTCTGTTCTCATTGCGGCTGATGATAGAGGTATACTCCCACAGTTCTAATCTGCATACCTCCTTTAACACCCCCCTACCCCTCTGGGCACACACTTAACCTTGCCATTTAGTGTCCTGCACAGTCCTGGCACCTGCCACACACTTGAGTACACATGTGCTGCACCCAGCCCATGGATTAGAATGGGAGGCCATGCATTCTCACAGTACCTTCTGAAACCCAGCCCGGGCTTCAAACCTCTGTAAAATTGCATCTGCTGACACAGTGAAATAGCACAGTTGTTGAGATCTCTGCAAATGCACTGGTTCCTTTACAAAAGAAATCTGGGTGCTAAGTTTCTTATGTAACAGATGACCTTGTAACAAGCAGCATGACCCTCCACAAACTGTGAACAGACCTTGCCACAAATGAATGCCGTCAGTCCTGCCACGCTGGGAAAAGCTGTGGGAGTGTGCCAGTCCAGGCAGCTGAAATATCACTTGGTGAAATTACCTTCAGATTCAATTAGGCGAATAAAGCAGCTGCACTTTTCAGGTTTTGAAACTTGGGAGTAGTAAGTTAGAATAGTGGAGAAAGGACAAGCAATAATAATAATCAGTATCATCTGCCGAGTGATTTAACGTGTGTTTGCCAAGCTCTGCTGTAATTGGTTTAATGGACTGACTTAGTAGGTGCAATTTAGTAGTACTGTTTTACAGATGAGGAGACCAGGGCACAGAGAAGTTAGCCAGGTAGACGGTGGAGCTTGGGTCGAGTCCCAGGTGGTCTGGCTTCAGTGCCCCACTTAGCTCGAACCCTCTGTGCGCCTCAGATAATAACACCAGTTCCCACGTGACAGGTGGTTTAGCTTGCTTATCTGAAGTTAGAGATAACATTTATAATTAAATTTGTATGGGACAGTCTCTAGGGTTCACTTCTGAATATGAATCTCAACTAAAATTCACCATTTAGTCTGTTTCTGAACTCAAGAATGACAGTTACTCTTCGCCCTTACTACACCATTTCCTTTTTTTATTTGCTTTATTATGAGGGATGTTGTTTCTTTAATATTCTTTCAAATTTCTGAAAAACCCACTTAGTACATGTTGCTAAGATAACCTACAAAGAGGCTACTATTTAAGAGAAATGAATGCAGATGTGTAGGTAAGCCATCCAAGACAAGGGGGGTGTTCACCTCTACTCCCAGGACCATGATAACTGCAGGGGAAATAACCTCCTGCAGGTGGAGAACAGTAAGGTTTTTCTGGCTTCCAGCAAACACCACACATGGGCAAGTGAAAAGAGTGGACTTTGACTCAGGACATTCTCCAGGGAATGAGGCAGTAGAGAATGGAGCCCCCGGCTGGAAAATGAGAGGGGCCTTTAACTGGCCCAGAACAGCCAAGAGAGACTCAGAGGATTAAGTGAAAAGAGATGACATTTCAAGGAATTATTACGGGTTTTAAAGCTTGAAACCATTCGAAAATAAACTACTCTAGGTGTTTTGACAGCAAGTTCAATCAGGGTGAATATATTATAAAGATTAATATCCTAATCAGCACCTATGTTTTCGATGTAATTAAAGTGAACAGTTACAGGAAGTTTTTTGTTTTTGTTTGTTTGTTTTTTGTTTTTGTTTTGAGACAGAGTCTCGCTCTGTCGCCCAGGCTGGAGTGCATTAGGGCAATCTTGGCTCACTTAAACCTCCCTGTCCTGGGTTCAAGCAATTCTCCTGCCTCAGCCTCCCAAGTAGCTGGGATTACAAGCATGCACCACCACACCCAGCTAATTTTTGTATTTTTAGTAGAGATAGGGTTTCACCATGTTGGCCAGGCTGGTCTTGAACTCCTGACCTCAGGTGATCCACCCGCCTTAGCTTCCCAAAGTGCTGGGATTACAGGCATGAGCCACGGCGCCCAGCTAGGAAAATTCAATACATATGGAAGATACACGTATTTTTAAAAGGCTGTGAAAGGGCTTTATTTAAAGTTTATACTTTATATTTAAAGTTTACTGATGTTTTGACTTTGCCTTTAAAAAAAAAAGTTAACTATTTTAATGAATCTTTTAATTAAAGTGTCAAAATCTCTGATTGTAGATTGTGGGTGACATTGTAGGTGGCTGGAGTTAAGAATCACTCTGAAAAAAAAAAACATCACTCCTGAAACTCAGAGAGAATGCATGCCTTTTACCTTAGCCTAATTTTTCTATGGTATCTTCCTGCCACCTGGTGATAGCATACCAAAAATGAATGCATTGTTCTAAGAAGCTAAAAAAGGATATGAAAACAGAATGAATCAGGAGTTGAATAGCGAGCTTCCTTTGTCTTGTTTGCCATAGGTGCAGTTTGAAATGAGAAAGCCAGACTGGGGATTCTGTGTAGTCATCCTCAAAAAATCCAAAGCATTTGTCTCAACACTGAGTCTGGTGATAGTTCAGGAAATTTTGTGAGGAAGTAAAGAAACAACGGACAGTTGCTTATCAGCGAAGCAAGAGTTACATGGTTAGCGGAACTGAGAGCCACAAGAAACTTTGTTCAGGCCCTCATTCTGCCACCTGTTAATTGGGCAATCTTGGAAATATCTTGAAGTTCTCTTATCTCCTAGGATGAGTCATAATTCCAGACCTACTTGACTCAAAGGAGGTAATGATTTGCAGCCTAATTATAACACCATATTCATATATTGTATTATGATTATTGCCCATTGGAGTTTACAGGTAAATTTGATTTAGTTTTCCAGGTTCAGTATGAAAACTAATTAAAGTCTTGCTGCTATTTAGAGTATGGATATAGTTTTTTCATAATCATTAAGACCAGGATTTTCTGGGAGGAGTATATTCTGTTCGGCTCTCTTTGGGATTACTGACTTGAATAGCTTGCTCCTCTTAACGTAGTTCAGTTCCAAATTGATTTCTGCCTTTTAGCTTTGAGTGAGGTAGAAATAGGATTTCTTGTAAAATGGTGTCTATTCTGGTTATAGGCTTCATCTGTAAGTCATAAAAGTCAAGTAATGCAGTGAGCTACATCTAGGAATTGAAATTTAAAACTTTCAGAATCTCGCTTATGCCTCTGGA